TATATATATATATATATATATATATATATAAAAATATATAATGTTCGTGACATTTTAAACCAAGAATTACATCTAGTCTACATGGAAAGACGATCACTAGAACATCTTTTCCTACTCACGCACTAGTCTACATGGAAAGACGATCACTAGAACATCTTTTCCTTACTCACGCACAGCACGAACTTTTGTATCCGAGCGTCCCACTGTGCCTTACTTACCTCACATTATCTCTTACACTAAGAGGTATCACAGCAAACAGTTAGCCTCGATAGAAAGCTTGTCTTAATAGGCCTTATGTTTGTTAGATGGCCCAGGTATCGAGCCAACCAATCTTCTGTAATTGACGTGCATTCGCATACTTTAGGAGTTTCTTTCACTGTTACACAAAGATATATGTTCTCATGCATTTTCGCCTTTACGGCTGATATTTTAAGACTGAGTAAACATGAGTTTCGTTTAGATCGTCGTTCCCACCCCACCCCCTTCATTGAATGGACGGCACTTGGAACAGTTTTTCTTACTGTAGAACCTATCACTACAGAGTTAAATTCGGTACTAATTAGCCGATTGTTTGAGGCGAGGATCATTTAGAAGGCATTTCACCCAGCTGATTTACTGATAGGGATAAAAAGATTCCAGAGTACAAAATTAAACAAGTCAACATGGCAAAGTGTGGAAGAGAAGTTTTTGATTCACCAGTTTAACGGGGCGAGGGGGGTGGGGGGTAAAACCAACATGTGAGCAGTTAGGCAACCGGTTTCAAAGTCTTAAATCAAGGACTGTGCGTGGTGCGAATCACATCTTACCCATTGATTAAAATGGCTGTTTTGTTCCGGATAAAGTCAGCCTAATTAACTGCTGTGGACTCATGCCATGTTCGAGTGGATCCAGAGCAAATTGACCAGCAGACGGCTAGACGCGAATTCATCACATTATTTAGCTGTAACATTCTCGAGGTGTATTCTTTCGTATTCTTTCAGAATACGAACAAAATAGCGTTTCAATTCGGCTAGTCTCATGAAAAAGTAGATCAATAGACCAACTTCTGCCGCTTGCCATACAAATACCTTATTGCACTCCATTACTCTGAAGGCGAGTTCAAGCAAGCTGGTTCTCACCGTTGATGAATTCGACACCTTTGTTCTATCCGTGCGCATACTTATGAATACTCTACCCCAAATGCATGCCAAAATAGTATACCAGCAAATTTTGTCAGGCCAGAATCTATGATCTCTTTTTGTGCACACTTAATCTCGGGTACGAACTGCGACCAACCCTCTGCGATAAGTTTCGATGGTACCCTATCCACCTGTGTATTTGTGTGTGCGTATGTACTAAACCTATTTCTCCCAAGTCTTTGGAACTGCGGCACTTCTTCCTTACCTCATTGTCTTAAGAAGCCCCAGATAAATTCCTCAATGGGCATATGCCTTGAACGAACCTGAATATTTTGGGATGCGCCTCACACTTGTGTATGTTTGCGTCGCCTGTTTCACCTACCTGTGGTTTGCTGGTTGTCGTTTGCGTCCCATGTTTTTGTTTTTTAAATGGTCGACAATCTGGACAAATCCCACCATCTCTTCGTCATCTATGGGAAGCAAATTTGGATAGTCGAGAGGCAGCGGTCATTGTTCCCTAAGCTTTGTTCGTTTTCTCCCAAAGTTCGGAACCAACGGACTGAGTGCAATCGCATGTTCTGTAATCTGGAACGATCCCACTAAGCCAGTGGACGAACACAAGTGTTCCACAGTTAATTTGAGCCTGTCTTGGATTGCCTCTAGGACATCTCCACGTGCGTGCGTATGTTAGCTTGTTTGTCGGTCCGCACCTCCACGCACATATACACCCCGAATCTGCAAGGTAACCTTGCCTGTCGAGGCTCAACATGACCAGCAGCGGTCTCTCAGTGGAGATTGTGGCTTGTATCTAGCAGTAGTTCGATCCGGATCGATAAAAAAGCCCTTCCGCCCGCTCGGATAGACACGGCCACACGACGGATAAACACGTACGTGAACGCCTGCACATAACTGCGTCAGAAAGTAGTCCAAGATTAGGGAAACAGGAGAGTGAAGTTAGGAGTCGACAGCCGCGGCATACCACCGAATAAATGCACACAATCCTTTGGGGGTTTCATTCTGGTCGCCTGGGCGAGGCTGGGCGACAGCTGATTCTAAGTAGTAAACTGGTTTGATACTGTCTGCTTTTTCGCCCATTCCCCACACAATCCACACAAACATCTGCGCACAACACAACACACCACCGCCACCCCCTAATCTTGATCGCCAACAACCCTCAGGTCCTGCTTACTTTGTTCGCCCGGACATCAGTCGTTCTACTTTTCTCCTTCCAGACCAGCAGGCAAACAAATCGGTGATTTCGCAACAAAAGTTTTTGGAGGAAAATTGGAGCAGCCAGCTCATCTCACTGTTCAGTAATTACGACGCTGTCATTCGGGTTGCAACACTTGCGTATAGTTAGACAATGATGTTATCTTGTGTAAAATCTTACTTTGGGGTGATCTTATTCGCAGATGGTTCTCTGAATAACAAAAGACACAAGATTAATGACGTTACAGAAGGTGAGCGAGCGTTTAAACAACTTGGGCGATTACTGTGCATACCAATCTGCCAGGTTCAGTGCGCAGTTTTTGGGAAGAAATATTGTGGATTACTGCGAATCGTAAATTTTTCCAGGATTACAAGCCCAGTGAACGAAATGGAAAACACAATAGTGAGACCATTGATACGCATCCAGAGAATTGAACCTGCGATCTCCATAGGGAGGAAAAACAATCTGCTTTAGAGAAACTGATAAAGGCTCGACGTGTAAAGTAAGATCGGGTCTACCTTGTTCCCATCAAAAGGGTTTCCCATATAACGTCTAGTAACTTCTTCGACCAGGCGGAAATTTAAGGCCTGGTAGCCACCCCTTTAA